TCTTAGAGGAATCTTTGCAGAGTAAACACTGCCAGTACTATGTGCGAGAGTAAATATGTGAAGACAACACAAAGACATGAAGAACGACTTCGGAGGAACACGATAGAGCAACACCGAATGCAACTCCACTGATGGAAAAGTGTTGCTAGACCCGGGCCAGGAAACCAAGCTCAATGGGGATGTCGAGCTCCTCCTGCCGTTGCTGCCGCAGGAGCCCCCATGCCTTCTCCTGCCCCGAGCTAACAGGCTCCATGAGATGAGCCCGAGTCCTCATCCAAGTCCTGTTCCTTTCCAAACATGAACCCGGGGCAGCTTGCAAAACTTGTTCTCATTCAGTAGGTTTCAATCTTTAAAGTTACCTATGTCACCCATCACAGGAGGTAATAATAGCATTTGAGTAACTAAAGATGTAACTAATTAAGATAGGAGGGAGGTGCAGTGTGGTTGCGTTGGCTGCAGAGGGGTGACGACTAGTCAAGACTTCAAGCCAGGAAGAGCAGCCCAGCCTTCACCCTACCCTTAAATTCTGCTCAGAGGCACAATTAGCTCAGCGATAGACCTCCAGGGCAGCTGAGGCACATGAAGAACAAGTCGCAGACTCGAGACAGGTTGCTACCATGCTGTCACCTTCCTCACAGCACTGGCAAGGACAGATACCCTCCTCAGCAAGGCCCTACGTTTGCCTTCTCAATTAACCTTTATACTAGGACAAACTGGCTGCAGCAACAATTTTCTTTGCGCTTAGCAGCTTTCTCCTTCAAAAAGAGAAATTTCTGAGCAAAGCTCTTGCAAAAAATTACACATCAGAATACGGAACTTGGCAAGGACTGAGAAATAAACACTTTGGCCATGCATCCTTTGCCACCAGTGATATAAAAGCCAGCACTTAGAGAGCTAATTCAGAATGCCTTTCAAACTGCTTTTGAAGCAACCCAAATGAAGCCACGTTCTGTAGCTAAATATTTTCCTTTACAAAGTTCCGAATATCAGCAGTTTCTCACCTCTGTCTCCCAGGTTTCCCCAGTAACACCTTCAATATGACTTATGCTGACGACAGGATGACTGAATTCAAGTTGAAGAGATAAGGCATTTGACAGCTTGCTCATCATTAATAGCAGATTAATTATTTTAGTGCATGTGAAGGAGTTAGTTTAAATACCAGAAATAGGAACGGGGGTCTTATTTAAGTTTCTGTCGTTATTTCTGTTGGCTGCCCTTCCTGTTCCTATCCTCCCACAGGGTAGCAGCAAAAAGCAGGAAGAGGAGTGGCAGCGGGGAACCCACTCTGCAAGGCTCTGCAAGGTGGAAAGGAGGAATTCCCTGCCCGATGCCCAGGGCAAAGCCCACCTCCCTGTAGGGCAGAGGAAGAGAGATCCAGCGCCCGTCCTGGTGGCTATTCCACCCCATCTAGTGGCATTAGCCCACTACAGCAGGGCTGCTGCCCACTGCACCATCACCACGCACCATGGCATTCGCTTGTTGAGCTCCAAGTTCACAGCAGCCTCTTTTAATCATTAGTTGAGCAGTCAATAAAAGCAAAACTGTGTTGGGGATGCTGGCTGAAGCACACATTTAATAAATGCATGACTGCCACACAGACTTACCTCTCTCTGCTTGTAGTTTTTTCAAGGAGGACTTCTTGTTTCCCAGATGAAGGCGGAAAGCCTCTGAAGCCGTTAAGCAGCACTGCCTGCTCAAGACAATAGAATAAAGACGCCCTGACTGATCATGATCAAGCCTGCTCTTAGCTAGGTGAACGCTAAGACTACCGCAGAGGACGGTGTTGGTGCTAGCCATCATTGTTTTCTGCTCCAGCTGCAGGCCTATGAAACCTGTGGAAAAGATGCTGTTTCTTTAGAATATAAGCCTTTTCATGGATCACCTGAAAATAAGTTTGTTTATACCAGCTACGAACAGGCACTCGTATTGGTCATTTTTTTCCTTAAAGAAATATTTTTTAAAAATCCCCTAGGATTTATTAAAAAAATGGTTTTTAAACTACTTAGTAAGAAACGCTTTTCCTTATGCTGGAAAAAGCTCAAAACTTCAACATCTTTTAACGAGGCACTCACCCAGAATGAAACTAACTACCCTTGAAAGCAGTTTGCAGACATGAAATAATGTTGTTCAAAACATATCTTGGGATCCAAGCAGATTCTTTGGTTTAAACTTCACAAGTATCCCAAAAGGTGCATTCATTTGCAGCTCTTCGCACAAGAGGCAGTCAAGATGCTGTGGTGCTTACCTTAGTTTCTGTAACTTAGCATTCTCCTAAATAACAAGAACATGGTTTGTAAGAGCCGTTGAATAAAAGTATTTATTTTAACATGTTTTCAGAGACACACATATAAAGTTCTCACCATATCTGTGAGCAAATTACCCTTTTACCCCATATCTACAGATGTAAAACATTTTACTTGGACTACAAAATAAAGTAGGTCTGATGTCAAGTCACCATTACTCATTGTATCAGTATTCTTGCTTCGTTACTATAAAGGTTTGAAGATTGAAATGTTTTCACAAGCTAATTTGCATATTAAATAAATCAAAGGTAATTCTTCCAAGAAATCCGCATTACTAAGTTGTTGCTAGTTATAATAAAATACGAAATGGCATAGAAACACTCTTAAAGTGCGTTACTGCATCTAAATAAATAGCAGCATGTATGCCTCTTCAAAACAGAGGACCTGACAAGGAAGGGATAGTGACCAGAACAGAAGTATTTTGCACTATAAAAAGAAAAAGCTGAAAAAATGTGCAAGGCAAAAGCCTTGTGTCATTACTCTATAAAGATACAGCTTAATAACAAGGGCTTCATACATACAAGACAGAAGGTGTTCTTCAGAAGTCCGAAGGACACAACAACAGAACCCCCTACAACTACTGAAAATATACACACCCATACATATGCTTCTTTGGGATCGCAAGAAGTATCTCCCATTCAACCATTGCCTAGCACAGGCCACTACAAAAATATAAGCCTGTAGTGATAACAGAGCAGTTTTTATCAAGTTCGTCACTGGCAGCAGATATTACATCAGTCTGACAAAATCAAGAGGATTCCAATGCAGTAGTATGTTAAGTTCATGGCTTTCTTCGCCTAAAAAAAAAAAAAGCCACAAATAACTTTCAGTAGCTTTCCTTAACAGTAGCCAATAGCCTGCTTTCCTATTCTGCTGTATACATAAGTCTCACGTACCTCCTATGCTAAGAAATGGAACAATTAAGAAAACTAAAGAGCTTATTTATCAAGAAACACTTGTATTTTGCTTTCTTTTTTAGACAGCCATAAGCGTAAAACAAAGTTTCATTTAACATATTAAATAAGTTAAAATAAATACAAGCTCCGACTCAATACACAGGCAAACTGAAGGATTTACTACAATATTACAAGGATGTAGCAAGGCTGCAAGTAGCAGCAGCCTCCTTGAGTAGGTCCCAATTTCTAGTAAGAGATGGAATAAAGTGTATGCTAACATGAGGAAAGGCACATATTTGTCACCTCATCTGAAAGCGGGATTACTGATTTCATATACTCTCAAAGATACCCTTCCACCATAGTTCTAAACTTTTCGGATTCCAAATGCAGTAAGTTTAGTTGATTTTGGCTTCATAGAAGCCTCTACCTCTCCAGCCCTCTCTCTTGCCTGTAAACAGAATCACAGAATCAGTTTGGTTGGAAGAGACCCCTGGGATCATCGAGTCCAACCTTTGCCCTGACACCCCCATGTCAACTAGACCATGGCACCAAGTGCCAC